TTATAAATCTAATTTAGATAAGGTGACGTGTAAAAAAGGTTTTTTAAAAGCTCCAACAATTAAGCCTTTAACTCTATCATTATTTCACTTTAATTAATTATCTAATAAAAACATTCACTTTATTTTTTACTCCATCCTTTTTAAAAAAAGTATATTATAAATAAACACTTAAATTATTTTTAAATCTTTAATTTTTTAAACAAACATGCTATAATTATAATATCACGTGGCATTATAAATTTATAATATAATATGTTGTTATGCAAATGTTTTTTTCCATTTAGAATCCACCAGTGACATTATATATATCTACATATTTAATATTATATTATATTCATTTAATGCATTGATGGAGATATGGGCCCTAAAGGAGCGTAGGCCCTCCCTAAACTTTTTAAAAATAAAAACTTTGAAGTTATATTTTTATTATTTCAATCCTTATTTACTTCATACTTTTAACTTTTTTTAACCCTAGTGTTCACATCTAAAATAAACCAATGAGAGAAGGTCATGTGTCAAGGTGAAGCCCAATTATCAAGAAAAGTCAGTAAGTTGGATTTGGGTTAGGCTGGATTACAATTTAAGGGCCCAGACAGATTTATAAGGAAGTTGGATTTCAGGTGGCAGAAGATAAAATAAGTTCTAGTATTTGAGTTTGATTTAAGTTAGGAAGTTGAGAGTTTTTAGGAGGAGGTTATCTCTAGGGTTTTATTGGAGATAAGATTGAGTAGAAACTATCAGCTACCAAACAATTGCCAAAACATGGAACCCCCACTACTTGATCATGGTGGGAGAGGGCCAAGAAACATGGAGGAGGTTTCCCAGCATCGAAGAAAAGAAAAATAGGAGGAAGAGATCAATTTCGGATGGCCTGCCCTACACATACACTGCCCAGAGCATGTTTTTCAGCTTTCAGACTACTTTTTCCAAATTTCAACAATAGTTTCCATATTAGTTTACCAGATCTGTTCTTATTCATAGCCTTAGGTTAGCTTTTTCCATCCTTGTTCATATCTTTCGTCAAAGACTTCAATTTAAGTTAGTTTTTAAGCATTTGAAGGCAATTCAACCTGCAAAATAGGTATGCCCTGTTGATTTGATTAGTTCCTCTTTCTTTTATGGATTCAATTATGTTATTTGTTTATGTAAATAGATTGAATGTTTTCTGTCTTTGTTCTTTTGTTTCTGCACAACAACCAAACATGCAGTTTATTTAATTTCATTTTTCAGATTTAATTTTATAAGTTTACAGACTTTAATCATTTTGTAATTTCTTCTTCAGTTTTAGTTATCAAGTAGTTTAGCTATTTTTATTTTAAATCTGCAAGTAATTAAATTTAATTATTATGGATTGCATAGTAGAAATCATTGTCTGTGATTTTATATTTTCTGTTGTTTATGAATTTTATTTTTATGGCATGTTAGATTAATTGCCTTAAGATTTTATGTTAATTTAGGATTTATAGCTTTTATTACGCTTTTGTGGTTGTAAAGTCCTTAGAGGTTCCAAGGCAATTAGTAATCCATTTTGCAGAACTCCATCCTCTGTTTTGCAACATTGTCTGGGACGCAATTTATTTCACAGACGTTCTTTCCAACCATTCTTTTTGGAGGTCGACCATTGGAAAGGAGAAGAGTCGTCTGGAAAATCATGTTTTCTTGTTTTTAGACAAAACAAGTGGTACGCTTAACATCCAACTTACGTGGTAAAGGTCGGCTGAGGA